AATAAAACATTTTTCATTAGCGAATGTGCATTAAGCAATGACCTTTTACTGACCATTGTGTTCGATTCATCTTGATTTCAAACCACATAACAAACCGAAAAACTGTTCAGATGCAAATGGAACTTGACATGCGAATTAAATGTGATTGGACATGCAGTGATGGTTACTTTGATGTCTCAATCGTAAAGTGGCTTTTATGATGAGCATATGAGGCATTTATCAATGAAAATTATCTGATAAATTCTCTATTATGATGTTGTGAAGTTTTTATGATGATTGAGGTATTTACGTAATCTTCTATTATCTCCTTCTCTTCTGTCTTTTTACTTCCATTGTCATAAATGAAATTTAAAGCATGTAATAAAATTAAGAGTGGCTTAAAATGGCACATTCTTTTGATGTATTTTGTACTAAGCTAAATGACACAGCTATAAAAATTGCGGCAATTTTTAACTCAATTTTCTTGGCTTCTTTTTCGTTTCTATTAAAAATTCCTTCAATAATTACTTCTGTTCGCTAGATTGTTTCAAGTTCAAGTTTTTGCTTTTGCTCTCTCGCCTTTGATTCTTAATGCTGTAATTATTATTTATAAGTTTAGTACAAAAAATATGCTAATTATTCAACATTTTGATGTTATTCATATTCTCTTGACATTGAAAGCTTAATATTAGTTTTTCAAAAAGATTTCGAAGTTGTTATTCTCGATTGATTTATATCTAGTTGAATTTTTAAGGAATGTAAATATGGAAGTTTGATATTTGAATATTAATGATCACAAAAGTGTCATATCATGTGTCCCGTGACTAGATAAATTAGCTGATTTCACTTTTCTTTGAAGCATATACATTTTGCCCACTGCCGCATCTCAAAAAACCCATTATAACACAACAAAAAAAAATCCCAAAGTTTAATTGTATTCATAACAACAGAAATCAATTTTCTTGTCTTGCAGAAATATTCAGGCAACTTTTAATATTTGCATATAAGTTGCTCATGTTTCTGCACCATCTATGTTCGTAAAAGCTTATCTAACTTCTTTAACAAGCAGATGAAAGTCTCATAAATTTCTAGATAGCGCATTGTAGTCTTCCAAATAAAAATTCACAACTTTCGCTTGAAATTCGCATTAAATATTCAAATTTTTCTCAGGAAGTGCTGCAAAGATGTTAATATTCAAATTTCAAATATCCAGCACATACTTTCTACGAAATCTTTGTTTTCATCCAAAACACAATCAAAAATAAATGCGCTTATGCAATCCGCTCCGGATACTTTTAATCTCTCAATATCTTTCTCTTCCTCCTCATTTCCATATATTGACAGAGCTTCAAATAACTTTTCTTTTGTCTCTCTCATTCCTTTCTGTTCATTCATTCATTCAAATTAATATGAACAAAAATTTGTACGACAAAAAAAATGTTATTTTTCTTCTTCTTTCTTCTATTTGGCATGGGAGGCAGTAGAACAGTGTTGTTGATCCCGTTTAATTTAGCGAAAATCCAATGGTTTATATTTAATTTTTAAGTGTTAGATGCAGGCGCGTGGATTTGGGGGACAAATCCCCCTTCAACTTGAGAAATTTCTTCATTTTTGCAAGAGTTTTTATGAAAAACTCGACCCCCCCCCCCCCCCCCCCCCCCTAAAAGTTTTCCATACAAAAAAATTATTTGTCCCCCCTTTTCAAATTCCTGGCTACGCCCCTGGTAACATGTATAATGGGTTTCTTAAAAAGTCTCGTAGCCATAGACTAGAATCTAGTGACTATATGTAAGTTTGTCGTTATACATAACTGATTAAGCACTGAACTAGACTAAAATCTCGCACACTCTCAAGTATGACATAAGGTCAATGGGCTGTTAACCAAGCAATTGCTCTAGACCATACATTTAAATTCTTGAACTTGTCAAAATGTCTATAATAGACGGTCCTCGTTTAATTCATGCAAAAAAAACCAAAAAACAACCCTGCGAACACCGGAGAAAATAATAGGTGACAAAAAGAGTGTAAAGAGGAGAAAAAAATGTCAACAAATAAACATCAAAAGTAATATGAGTCTTCATTAACATCATGTTCACGTATAATTCCATCATGCATGCATAATGACATCTTTTACAGCATTTCACTCATTTTTTCGTGTGTAATTTTTTATCATTTATCACTGATGTGCTGCTTATTCCTACTCATTTCTTTCTTATGATGTCACCAAAGTGATTAACGAATGGAATAACTACTTATAGGATGCATGGAAGATTGTCGAATAGGAAGAAAAATGACAAAAAAAATTGTCGCGGCAAAATGACCAAAAAAAGTTAAATTATTAATGGGCAATCGATGGATCAAAGAAAAGAAAATAAAGGCGAGTGAGTAAAAAATGTTTTGTTTCTTAAACGAAGCAACGGTAAAAGTTGTATAATAATGTAAATATTTTTCAAATTATTTTGTATACACAAGAAATGTTAAGAGTAGAAGTGAGAAATGGTACTTGGAGTCTGTGAGCATTCAGTGCATTTTCAGATGATGTGAATTCAATGTTTTCACGCAGCTTTTTAAGATTAAGAGTCTCTAGTCGATAGAACAATGTAAGTATGGAAAGTCGGCAAATAAAATCTTTTGGAAACTAGATTTTATTTAAAGATGGGTAATAAATCTGATTAATAAACTAATGTATCGATGGAATCTAAAGAGAATAAGTAACACAATCAGTCAGTGTGATAATTTGTGTTGACTTCAAAGTTTTGAAGTTGAATTCAAATCTAATTGTAAAGATCTAAGTCAGTATTCTTGACTCGTCATAAAGAAAATTTAATTTAATAGGTTTTGTGTTCTTAGTTTCAGAACTAGATTCAGAAAATTATCCCCCAATTTCAAGAAACATTTCCAATCTCTAAAATAAGGTTTTAAAAATCTTTGATTAATATTAATTGTCAAATTTGAATAGTCGCTAGTTTACAAACTTTTTTATTGAGGACACAAAATGTTATCACAAAAACTAAAACGCAAATCTTGCAATAACCTCAATTCCACATACTTTATTTTCTCACTTAAGAAAGTTTTATGTAAATTTCCCTCAATAATTGACTTTTAAATTAATGAATTTATCATGTATGAAAAAGATAAACAACCGAAAATGGCAAGCTTCAGTTTATCATAAAAAACAAATACATATTAAACATACATCCAATTTGACCCAGCAAGTCAAAATGCTCGAATCTTTTCGCTCATTTATCATTAACGCTCTAAAAAATTAAGATCGTGTGAATGTTCAATTCATGCCATAATACTCACATATGACTAATGATGAAGAAAGTAAAAGTAATCCATAAAATTTTTGCATCTTGAATCGTCTTCCGTTTTTAATTTTTTCCTCGATGATATTCCAATGGCTTTGTTTTAACTTTGATTTCTAACTTTTGAATATTTGTTCTTCTTCTTTGTTTTTGGACACAAACAAAAGATCCAACAACTTTATTATCTTTTCTTAATTAATATTTATCACTGAATAAGTAAGTAAGCAAGTAATTTGTAAGCTTGTATGCATTATTTACGTTCAAGTAAAAGTTTCACTTTAAATTGAAGAAAAGAAAAAAAGAAAAAAATTTCACATTTTTCCCATCCACGAAAAAAAATCTCCGGAATTTAAGTCCGTCCGTCCGATATTGTGTTCAATCGCGATCGTTATTGCACATATATCCAGTGCACATTCTTAATATGCAATCACATGTAATGATGTAAGAATTATTTATTATTCAAGGTTGTTTACTGCGCACGTAACTTTTAACTTTTCGCTAACTTGATCTTGACAAGCTGGAGAGTAAACGAATACTGAGTACTGAGCTTTGTGAGTTTTTACGGAGTTCGATCGCTTGTGACCCTCTTTTGAATCAGTTTTAAGTTAGTGTTTATAAAATAAAACTCTCTCTTTTTTTCTCGAGTTGTTTTATTCAGCCAAACAGCCAACATTGATCCCACCAATTTCTGTAATATGTGGACGTGTGGTGTTATAAACGTCAATGTTAGTGGGAACCGGCAATTTCTTTCTGTTCGGTTATTGTGGCTCATTTTCTCATAATTTGTCTTGTGGTTTCAATATTTTGACACGAGATGTGACTACTGTGGATGATTCTGTGCTTTGTTGTGGAAATTTGAGTTTGATGGATTTATTGTTTTGTTTTGTACTTTGAGGTTTCAAATCTTTAAAGCTTTAGCTGTGTTTTGGATAAAAGTCAGTATTTATAAAGTTATCAGTTCTTAAAATACATATCGATTGGTTATTCATTTCAAAAGTGTAGCTTAAAGTTTTTACGAATCAGTAAAATATATTTCGTGACTTCTTTAAACATCTTTACAATTACTACTAAAACCAATTCAATTTGATTCGATTTTAATGAACTGTGATGATGTTTCATTTGACGATTTTCCGATAAATATATTGAGCTGTATGTATCTTAATGATAGCTAATCTTATAGAATTAAAATAGATTTGAAAATTAACAATTAAATAGTAGATTTTAAAGACCACAAATATAATAACTGGTGAAACTTATTGTGAATTGAGTTTTAATCAGAAATGTCAGTTTGTAAGACAAACGCTTAGCTATATCTTGCTAGCTTTGGTCTAGGCAAACAAATAAGCTCTTAAGATTTGTCGTAACTTCAATCTGTTTGAAGTAGCCTCTGATCTCATAGAATCTGATAAGTTTGAAACTTTGAAACGCTAAATATAGAATTGCTGTCAATTAGCTCAATTAATTAAATTACATACATCAAAGAATTCCCACCTTTTCCGTCCACGACCACACTTCAAGTAAATTAATACGTTTGTTTGTAAACCAAGAGATGGAGAGCTACCGCTTTTTATTTGATGCTATTGAGCTACTGCAATAGAGATGTGGTAAAAAAAAAATTAATTATTTGCTTATTATGCTCACTCAAACTTCTCTCGTTTCTCTCATCTGTCTTCTCATCATTAACTACTGCATTTAATAATTAATTAAGTTATTGTTCATGCTCACTCTTTTTACTGATCATTTTTATTAATTGATTAACATTAAAGCTATTAATGGGGGATCAATATGTCAATAGTACTTTATGCATAAGAGAGGCACTAAGCCTTATCATTCGGACATATCAAAACATAATGTATACATTTCACCGCGTACGACAGTTATACATGGTGTATAATTAATAATTTAGTACATACATAGTAATAACATTTCATTTCTTTTGTTGTCTCATTGCCGATAAATTAATCAATTAAGGACATTAAGGTTCTTATTTAATTGAAAAATAAATGGTTAATGAAACAGCGACAATGAATACAACACCGATAATGTATAACACAAACTTATCTCTTATGCTTCTCATTATCATTGTGTTCATAAGTCGTGAACTTCTGCCTAAATCAGCATTTGTCTCTCTCAGTCGATTTCTACTACGCTGAATTGACTCACGTTGTGTCGATAGATTCTGTAGCACTTGAGTGCCAATTTCTTCTGTCTCGATAGCAATTCTATATCCTTCAGCTAATCTGTTGCCAGTTCTTTCTAGTCTCTCGGAATTATCCAGAAGTCGTCGTTTTTGATCTTCAGGTATGCCAATATCAAAATCATCTATCGATGATGAATCGTCAACTAATAATGGATTAGGCTTGATTTTTGATTTATTATAATCCTCTTCGAGCCGCCTTAATTCAGCTTGATATGACTTTAATCTCATTTGTTGACTGGTTCTTTGGGAATGATCTGTATTTTGATTTATCTCTAATCCTATTTGCTCAAGCTATTAAAAAGATTATTATTGGATTAGTTGATTATATAGCTAAGCTAGATTGTGTAACTTACAATTTCTTGTGCCTCATCAATTCCGCGATTTATTTCTACTATTAAGTTTCTACGATCATCTGAAAGTGAGGAATAATAATTATAGCTTCATGTCGTGTTTATGATTGATTAGTTTACCAATTGACACACTCGATAATCGTCCAATATTGGATGTTATCTCTGCAGATAATTGCCCAAATTGCTGTTCATATTCTTCCAGCAAGCCCATTTTTGTAACAGATTGTTGCTCTCTTCGGCTTTCTTTTCCTTTACGACTATTAGATTACACAATGACTATTTGTATTACTGTATTGAAATTGTGGAAACTCTTCTTATACTTTAATTAATCATTATTTTGTGAAACTTGTGATGTCACTTAATTTATTTGTAGAATTCTTCTTATTTCTGAAATGTTTTGACTATATCCTATTGATCCTCGATGTTCTGAAGGCTTATTGGAGTGTATTATTTACTTTAATTAACTATTTTCCTTTAATTAATGGGTGAAAATCAATAAAATATTTAAAATTTTCCAATGAAAACAAATATTTGAATGTATTAGTGTCGACACAGGGTGCCTCGGTATATTTTTCTTCAGATTTTCAATTTTTTTATTATCGTTAAAAACTACTAGAATTGTTTACATTATTTTAATCTAAAGTTGGTGCTTTCCTGCCTTCCTTAGTTCCTGATTTTTGTCTCTTTAATAATAATCGCTGATTTGCAGCCATTACTTGCCGTTTTCTGATTTTCTCGAGGGTTTCAGTTGACATTTCTGGTCTTTTTGGCGTTTCAGCAGCACGAATCAAGGTTCTTAATTTTGCAAGAGCATCAGCAAGGTTCATTTGCTGGTATCTTGTTAATTCACTTTTGATGATTAAGAATCCTTCCTTGTTGATCTTCATTTTGTGCTGGAATTTAGGAAATTTGTGAGAATAGCTTTAAGGAAATCCAGTGAAAGAAAATTGAGGATGTACGTAATGTCTATGAGGTAGTCAGAATAACCAGTCCAGGAGTTGGATCTCAAACAGAATCACTAGATCTCAAAACTTAAATTTTAATTGCAACTAGAATAGGATCTATTACTTACATCTTCCTTTAATCTGTTCTTAATAGCATCAGATATCCAATTAGCATTATCGACATGGAACCGTAAGTCTACTTTTGTTGCAACTTTATTAACATTTTGTCCTCCAGCGCCTGATGATCTATCATAAGTAATCTGAAGTTGATTTACAGGTATGAATCCATTGAACTTATCTTTATCTAGTGATGGCTGGAAATGTCAAGTGAGTTTTATTAATTAAAATACATTTTTAAGGGAATTATAAACTTACAGGCGATGGAGTGAAAATATTTTGCTTGCTATTTGGATAAAGCTTGTCTAACGAGATGTCACTTTTAAAGTACGATGCAGTCAGTGTCTTTATGTTTCTATTGCATAGGGAATATGATGCAAATTTTGTTAATTTAAGCATTTTTCAATGAATTTAAACTTTTGTTTTGGATGATTTTTGGAACTTATTGGATTTTTCGACACTCATCCACACATTGTCGACGGTCCACAGTGTTTCTTAAACTTTTTTTAGCCCGTGGATCATTTTAGTCAACAATTTTCGAGGCACAAAGCTTAGAACCACTGATCCACAAAAAACGTAAACATTGGCACATTAGTTTCAAAAAACTTTAAATAAAATGGAAATAAAGGATGTAAGTAGCTGCATAATCATTCTAATAACCTTTAAATAACCACAATGTTGCAGGAACCGAAGTATATCATTGAAGGATCTGCCAAAATATTCGAAGAAGGAAATGTAAGCAAAATTATAAATTTTAAAGCACATCCAACAACTTAATTAAATAATCCTTACAGGTCTTTTATAATCCAGTTCAGGAATTCAACCGCGATGTGTCAATTTGTGTTTTAAACACGTTTATGTCAATGTTCAGGGAAGAATTGTTATCAAAAAAGGAACGAGTTAAGAAAAATGAAGAGCCGAAACCGCCCAAGAAAATTAGAGTTTTGGAGGCTTTAGCAGCGACTGGATTACGTAGTATAAGATATGCAAAGGAAGTTGAAGGTCTGGATGAAATTATTGCTAATGATTTGATGAATCAAGCTGTTAATATGATTAATAAGAATGTTAAGGCTAATGGCGTGGAAGATAAAGTAACAACAAGTCATGCTGACGCAGTGTAAGATGAACATTAATTTTATATCCATTCAACGACTCTTAATGTCTATTTTACATTTCAAGGACTCTAATGTACACGACAAAGCCTGATAATAAGTTCACAGTCATTGATCTAGATCCTTATGGTGGACCAAATAGATTCCTAGATGGTGCTGTACAAAGTGTTGTAGATGGAGGATTGTTATTAATTACAGCAACAGATATGGCTGTCTTAGCTGGAAATACGCCAGAAGCTTGCATTGTTAAATATGGTTCTGTGCCTTTACGCTCAAAAGCATGTCATGAAATGGCACTTAGAATTTTAATTAGGTCAGTTGAGACAACAGCTAATCGTTATGGACGTTATATCAAACCATTATTATGCTTATCAATTGACTTTTATGTTCGAGTATTTGTTCGGATATTCACAGGACAATTTCAATGTAAAGAAAGCAGCACAAAGCAGTCAATGGTCTATCAATGTACTGGATGTGATGCATTTACATTACAGCCATTAGCCATTAGAAAATCATCACCGGAAAATCCCAAATCAATTAAATTTTGTATTCCAACCGGTCCGTTTGTGTCAACAAATTGCGAACATTGTGGACATAAGCATCACATGGGCGGTCCAATATGGAACAGTCAAATTCATGATTGGGATTTCTTGGGGGAATTACTGAAGTTTGTTAAATCAGAGAAAGGTCAAAAGCTTGGAACTTATAATCGAATTCTTGGCGTATTGTCTGTTGTTCAAGAGGAACTTCCAGAAATTCCTTTATACTATACGATTGACCAGATGTGCTGCGTATTGAAGCTTGAAGTTGTCCCACAAATGAAAATGCGTTCAGCTATTTTACATGAGAATTATCGTGTATCATTGTCGCATGCCTGTAAGAACTCGATAAAGACAGACGCTCCAATTTCACTTTTATGGGATATATTGAGATCCTGGGCAAAGACACATCCAGTTAATCCAGCAAGGTTTCATGATGGAACAGCATTAAAAAAGATTTTAGCAACGGAACCAGCTAAAGATTATAATTTTGATGATTTACATCCTCAAGCCAATCCACCGAGTCGAAAAGACGCACTTGCAAGATATCCTGAAAATCCAGCTGCTATGTGGGGCCCGGGAACTCGATCGACAATCATGTAAGTCCATTATCCTTAATTGTTATTTCGTATCGTTAAATTCAATCAATTTTCATCAATAAATTAGGGTTGACAAGTCACGAATGACGAAAAATATTCGGAACCAAAACAAGAACGTGAAGAGAAAGGCAAAGCAGCGAAAGGATAATGAAATGAAAGAAGAACGAGAAAAATCTCCTGATACTAAGCATATGAAAATTGACGATGAGGAAAATAACATGCAGGACGTTGAAGTGCCATCGTAGATAAACTTTAAATTATTTTCCTTTTTTGTGTCTTTGCGAGGATGAGAAATTAAGATGATAAAGTAATAAAGGAATCGAGAAAAAAAAAATTATTATGCTCTCGTCTTTATCATGTCACTTTTGATTTTCTTAAGCTTTTTTGTTTTATTCATTATTTTTTCTCCTTTAGTCTTCAGTTCATCATTAATCTTTTCATCCAATCTGTCAACATAGTCAGGTGAATAATTTAATAATGATAAAAAATAGTGAAGTAGAGTAAGATGTGTATGAAGTTTGAAGCGCATTTGCGGATTTTACATTTTATCTTTAAACTGAACGCGTTCTTAAAACTGAACTCATCCTTGAAAATGGATCATAAAATGAAATTATGCTTCCAAACTGAACTTATCTAATGACATTATAAATGTTCCAAAATGCTGTTATTGATACATTTTATCTACAAACTTGACGCGTTCTTAAAACTGAACTCATCCTTAGAAATGGATCATAAAATGAATTTATGCTTCTAAATTGAACTTATCTCATGACATTTTAAATGTTTCCAAACTAAACGTATCCCATAAAGTTGAACTTATCCCTTACACTGAACTTATTACTTAAGAGTTTAAAAATTGTCTTCAAACTAAACTTATTTTTTGAACCCTAAGAATTTATAATTTAACGATTTAAAATAATAAAATGAATTGCAATTTTAAAATCTACTTGTAAAACTAAACTTATCCTGAGGCATTCAGCCGTAATCAAACTTTAAAACTGACTCAGCTGAGATAACAAAAATTTACTAATTTTTGCAAAAAATGCAAATCAAATTGACTCTCACAAAACTTAATACAGCACATTTTATCCAATTGTCAAGCACAAAATAAAAGTCCATTAACTAATTATCAAAGTCCAACAAAGACATTCAATCTCCTCAGCTCCCCTCCATTTCTATCCATTATTTACAAAGTCTTACTAAACATTAAAGCTCATTATTTCCATCATTCAACATAATATTATTAAAAAAACTTTAAATCTCATCTATTATTCGAAAAACATAATGCTGTTCACTTCATTATAAGCATAAAAACTTGGTAGTGGTGGTTGATGGATGTAAAAAGGAAGAAAGACTCTGTAAAGAGGAGCAAAAAAAATGCATCAAATGAGATGAATTAATTAGCAAACCACTTGAGGGATTGGTGTATGGAAAGGAGGGAGAAGAAAAATCAATTAAAAGTTTTCCAATTACACTGTTTTTAAACAGAATAAAAAGTTTCTTTTATGTGCATTGAACTATAGAATTTCTTCCATCATCTTTTGGTTTTCTCTCTCTTTATTTCAAAGCATTTTCCTCCGTCTTTTATGATGCAATGACATTAATGTAAAACTTTTCCTCTCCTTCGCTTTATGCGAAGATTGTTTTAAAGAGTCAGGCTGGAAAAATGCATGGCGCATATTTTAAGAATATCGAGAATCACAATATTTTGGAAAGATAAGTTCAGTTTTAGGGTTCAGTTTAAGTTTGGTTTCAATAGAAGTTCAAAATTAAAGGATACATTCAGCTTAAAATGTGAAAGAATTAGAAGAAATTCAAATTATGAAGAACAAGTTCGGTTTTGAGGACCAAATTGAAACTTTATTGATAAATTCAATCCATTACCAAGATACCTTGCCAAAATAAGAGCACCAACACTTTTTCTCAACATTTATTGCCTTAAAACTTGAAGATTGAATAAAAACTTTCTTCTTTGTCCTCTATTGGTTTCTCATTGATAGAAACTGCCTTCCTTCTTTTTCTTTTGTCGTCTCTTTATTCACCCTCATGACATCAATTTCACTACCGACTATCGAATGCTGTCATTGATGGTAGAAAATTTATTTTGACAGTGGAAGCTACTTAATTTATTTATTCCTTCATTTTTCCAATTCATTAAATTTTTTTCTTCTTACTGTGAATTTTTTTTCTTTTTTCTTTTATTTTTCTCGTTTTCTCTACTTCCGATTATTTTTTTGTACAATATTTGGGGATAAAGAGAAAGGTGAAATTGAGTCGAATCAATTCAATGTGAGTGCAATAAATTAGAAAAGATATTGGGATATGTAAGTAAAATAATCTTGCAGGGATGAGAAGAAACCTGAAAAGGATACGGTATCATAAAGAAGGATAAAGGAACTGTAATAATAGATGGACATAGGAAAGAAAAATTCTCAAATAAACCGTCATTTTTGCTATTGCATGGGGCAATCTGGATTTATGGAATGAGAAAAAGTAAGTTTCAATTTTGCTGTTCTCATGGTTCTGCGTTGGATAAACCCGAGGTTTGCATGAGATTTTTAATACCCTTGCAGATAATTAGCGTCTTCTGAACATACTTTTTGTAGGTTAAGGATAGTGAAACTGATCAAATATTTAAGATCGAATTGTTTGTAAAAGGTTTAGGTTGGTTTAGGTTTAGATTTAATCCCAATTGCTATCTTTCCAAAAGCCAATCTTATTATCAATCCAATAAATCCAGGAAATACCTTCATGATCTACATACTTCAATATTTACATATACTTCTCGGTATGAAATTCCTCAAGTGCTTATCCATACCCTAAGAATGAATATACATCCATAAATATACATATATACAGTAAGGATCCAGTAATCCCGATAATGCTTCTGTTATTTTTTATAGCTTTTAAAAATTTCCTGCTTCCTCAATTGATATTTCTCCTTCCAAAAAAAGAAAAAAAGCAAAAAAGAACTTTAACTTCCTTCTTTCGTTCCTGATAGCTCACTTTTCTTAGCTTCATATTCATAAATTACTTTGCTCTTCTCCGCCCACTTCAAACTCCTCTTTTTATACATTCTTATTTTTAAAGAGTCAGTCTCCCCACTTTCTTGGATAGGAAAGAAGAAAAAAATTGAAAATTGCCGTTCATTTCGACACAAACATTTATTGCAAGTAAAGCTCTTTTGATGAATGAATGAAAATTGATGAAGGAAATTGTTGAAATTGATTAATGATTAAGTGCCTTTATATCTCCCCTCATCAAATATATTTTTAAACTACCTGAAAATGGCTGGCTGTTTCTTGGATTATTTATTGCTCCACTAGGATGCTAAATTAACATTCATAGTGGAAGTGACGGAATTTTAGTTGTGTGTAATTTCAATTAAAATTATAAATTGAAAATTGCTCAAGCGAGATATGAATAATTTAGTAATATACTAATTTCAATTGCATAAAATTAACTATTGATTCATTATCTTCCTCTTCTTGACTTTCATATTCTGTATTATATGGAGATTATTTGTCTCTGCTGAATGTCTCTTTCGTGTGCTTATTTTGCATATTATACAATAATAATTTGAAGGATTATAATAAAGCAATAAATTAATGTGAATTACTTAACATGATTCTCTTTCCTCTCACTATCATTGCTCTGTTCAAGCTGCATAACTATGGATATGGATTTTGCATGATGTATGAAATAGTTTAGCAATAAATTTTGGGGGTTCTGATGTTTAAAGTAGAAATACATCTGGATTATGATTGGATTTTTGGATTATTTTTATAGTTTTTAAATAGGGGCCATTCACTTATTACGTAACGCTTTTAGGGGGAGGGGGGGGGGGTCTAAGATTTTGTTACGGTTCAAACAAGGAAATTTTTTTTTCATACAAATTTTGTTACGAGGGGGGGTGGGGGTCTAAGAAGTCATTTTTTCGCGTTACGTAATAAGTGAACAGCCCCATATCTTTTTTTAATTCAGCAAACATGCTCGAAACTTTAGTTTGAGTTTATAATTTTGACAAAAAAAAAACTTCCCGCCATTTTGAATTTTACGCTAAAAATTTTAAATTGTCAGTTTTAAGGCCTAATTTACATTCAAATTTCAACCAATAAAGTCAAATTGATAGCAAAAAGTGGCAAGAGATCATTTGTTGTATTTAAATTCAACAACCACATAATCTGAAGTGAATTTTACAACTGCTAATTTTGCTGCACTATTCATGTTTACAAACTCTACACCTTTTGAAGCAGCTTAAACTATCAAACACAAACAAGACACATACTAGTCAATATCTTTACATATTTATCAAGCTTGATATTTTTATCATTCGTAAAACATTCATGAATACATTTAATTCATATCAAGTCACTTGATCAATAAATATTTGAACTTCACCATTGAGAATTTTGTCTCTGTCTCTGTCATGAAAATTGTGAACATGAGGCAATTTAGCTCATCTGATGTCAATGGGTTTATCGTCACCATCAATATTCAATTCAATTATGCAGAGAGAGAAACTCAATATGAATATGTTGAGCATATCTCATTTACGTACATACAATATATTGTATCTATGCATGGTTCACCTTTTTTTTCCATCTCATCCAACAATGTTAATATGTCTCGGCACTCTCACTACAATGGGATTTTGTGTGGAATGGAGGGGGTTCGTTGGTTGATAAAAATGGTCAAAAGTTATATTTTTGGTTTGCAATTTCGTCATTTTAAGTTTCAGTCTTATGAATTGAAATGCAATTGATGTTCTCTTGCCACTTTTTGCTATCAATTTGACTACATAAGTTAACATTTTAACTTTTAAATCAATTTAAAATTGAGAATTAAAGTTTTTGGTGAAAAATTCAAAATGGCGCAAAAGTTTGTGATGACTGTCAAAATATTAATTTTTAAAATCATTAAACTAACCTTCAAATTCAACCTTAATCCATATATTGTATTTTCCATAACTATTCAACACAACCTACCAGTCCCCTCGACAGACATGAACTCACGGTATGCATTAAAAAGGATTATTATTATAATTAAATGACAAGGAAAATTCTCTGTCTCTTTTTTCTGCATTTTATTCAACATTGAAAATTATATTATCGAAACGGATTAACTTTACTAAAACTTTATCGTCATTACCGACGTCGTTATTGTCGTCATGGCAGTATTGAAATTAAATTTTATGCTTCATTCAACGACTAACAACTTTTTTATATCAAACCATAGTTGTTGCTGTTAA